AAAATTTTAAAATATGTTCAAAATTAGTCTTTAATCAAGCAGGCCTGAACCCCAAAAGATGACAGCTAATATCGAAAAAAATTTACATTTTATAAGAGTCGTTTCACCTATTCGGGGACACACTGTATATTGTCATTTGGAACAACTAGCCACCAAAAGATGGCGCTAATGTGAAATTAGAAATTTAAATTGCTTCTACTGATAGTAACTAAATTCATATCTGAAGTTATGTGCTTCTTTTTAACCTTAAGCATGAAGTTAACGTTCCCTTCACTTGAAAAGCTGCTAAATCACGCGATACACGTTCGATAGGTAAAAAATTCGATGTTTATTGGCCGTTCGCGCCAGGTACGGCCGACTTTTCATTGAAAAAACTTTTAACAATGCCTGGGTGTTGCGTTCACCTCTGACCCCGTCCGGGATTTTATCTCGAATTCCAACGGTATATCGCTGTCATTAAGCACGGCCGGGGGAGGCGGTACATTTCAAAATTTCACCGATCACAATTCGTACTTGACAAATTGACGGGCAACAATACTAAATTCTCTCGAAAACGGTCAATTATCCGTTATAAATCGTCGTCGTAGCGGGCGTATCGTTTCATAAGCGCTCACACAAGGTCTAAACCATGAACAATAAACGGTAGCGAGCGGTCGTTGAAATAATAAAATCGTTACTTAACCGATAATTAATTTGCAGTTAATAAACGCTTCTGCGTGGTGCAGATCTTTTAAAAGATTTTTTTTCTCTTCCATCGAATCATGTGACCTTTTTGGCATTTAGATCCATCTGTTCGATTCTTGCAAGGTGCGTTTTCACGACGTCGTATTTTTATTTGTACACAAAACGATCTTGTAGAAGTTGCGCATTTGTGCAACGATCTCTCGTTGTGAAATCTGTATTTTTTCGAGTTGAACGCGCGGGCCATAGACCGCAAAATAGCTCTTTAATTAGCAATTTAATTTTAAACGCGCCGGTAATTTAGAAATCGTGTTCACTCATTGTGTTACGCTACCTAATTACCCGTTGATTTTGACGTTACACAATATCAAATATCGAAACACGAACCTAAAAATTATTTAATATTTCTATTTGTGTCGTAAAATCGAAAAATATTTTGAATTGACCATAAAAGAGGAATGATGCGTGCGAGGCTGTGGTAATGAGCCGGTTTCTACCTGAACTTTTTCAAAATAAGTCCGCTCTAATGGGCCGTCTATCAAAAGCTGGAACTCGACGGAACCCCGGTACGAAATTACAGTGGATTTCGTCGGCCCCACTTGTTAGAAACGATGACTGAAAGCTCACGGAATTGCCGGAAAATTACGCACTTACCAGCGGAATGTCGGGTTGCGTAAATTAGAGTGACTTCACCATCGTTTGTTGGACGCCCAACTCTTATTTATATCATTTCTAACTGTAACAATTCCAAAATCACTACAATTTTATTTATTATTTATTGCAGTTCAATTTTTTTCATTTCACTTCTCCTCACTATGTTCATCCAATACAGCACTGATTAGATAATATATTTCCAAGTAAATTAAATCATCCCTAATCTTTTGGCATCAACCTCGAAATTAAGAGAACTCTACTCAGCACACCACAGACCAGAAGAAGAACTTTGCAAAAAAGTATCTAGATACTATCTTTTAGATCATGAAGACAAGACCCTATCTATATTGGATTAGGTTCCTTTAGGGTTTGGGGGTTTGAATTTGGCTTGGGTTTGAGTTAAGAATTAGAGAATTGAGTTGATAATTTTGCAGATAGCTTACTTTACGTTATAGTCCTTTGGGTTGCTTTGAATTTGGCTTGGCTTTGCGTCTTTGTTTGTCTCATCTTCCAATCTTGCTCTTAGCCTTCTAATAGCCCATATACTTTATTGGCCAGCCTTTTTCGAATTTTCCCAGAATGTCTGCCTTTCCTGGCCAACTCCATTCCAAACAATACGAATAGCGAGATCACCTCCATGCGTTCCTTCGTGCCACCAACCACGACTCTGCTTGATCTAGTCAGCATCAACAACATCACTACATCCTTCATTAGTCCGCGAGTTAATCAACCACTATCATATTATCTTTTATACACTTAGCCGAGGTCGCTTGCGGGCGAGGCATGACAATGTGTTGATTAATATGATTTTAATTGCAACGTCTCAATCGCAGATGAGCTGGCTTATATTTACCTGGATTTAAGCTTTATCGAGGTCGCTTGCGGACGAGACGCTACATTATTTTAACCAACAGTAATCGTATCCAAATTGAATCACAAATTCTCGATGGGATTTATGTCCAAGCTTTGGAGTGGCGTTTTCATTACTTGAGGACAATTCTACAAGACAATAAAACCTAGGTCTTGGTAAATTTGTCAATACCACATTTCGAAGTAAATTGGTTCTTAATCCTAGAACACTGGGTTATTGGTAACAGCTGATAGACATTTTAGGTAGTTGTGTATCTAAGTTCATATATGTAGATGTAGTAGATTTCATACCAGTATCTCAAAGTTGATTGATTGACAATTTTTAATAATTTCAAATAAACGCCCTGTATATATAAATATTTTTGTGATACAAATGAGATATATTTGCGATTATAATATAATATTGCAATCTCATTCTAGAGAATAACTCTTGTAAATTAATTCATATAAGTTGGGTCGAAGGCACTTAGAGGTTTTCGAGAAGCAACATCAGGCAGCGAATTTCACACAAGTTTGGACTTGAGGCCGCTTTCCCCCGGTAATTACAAACACAACTTGCAATATTCTAATTAATTTTTTTCGTGCGGCGGAGCGCCCGACGTAGGGCGTCTCCGAACCCGGAGCCGCTTCTCACACATTGTTTCTGCCCGGACGCGCTCTTAATAAATTAATGAACGTTTGCCAGCGACGGCGCAGAAGAAGGGGGCAGAGCGACCGAGCCCCGGCGATTGGGCGTTTCAAGATGGCCGAATGGTATTTACATTTTAATTGAGAAAAGTACCGATTATGATTTATACTTAATTAAAAGTTATTTCAAATACGAACCTCTTCTTCTCTTTCGCTCATCGATTCTCGGTAGAAAAGCCAATTCAAAAGTGGTAAATCATATTATCCAAGAAGATCTTTCGTACCAGCGCGCTACAAAGTTGCAACTTTTCAGATGAAACTAATATTAAGATACATTTAAACGTGCTTTTAGTCTCTTTCAAACAAAACGATAATAAAACGGCCGTTTTTACTACCTAAGAGTTTACTTTTCGTTATGGTTTGTTTGAGGAAACCGGCCGTTATGACTAACAAGCGAGACTACTGTACCAGAAGACTACTAAAAACAGGTAGCGTAAAGGAAGAAGAAGAATTTGTGAAGAGAGGACCTCGTCTCTCGTTTAGTTATCGCGTTCAGGATCTCACCGCATTAAGGGTAATGCCGTCATGTCCCTTAATAAATTAAAGAAACGCGCGCCGCGGTTCGCGACGGGTCACAGACGTAAATTAATTAATAAAATTAAGGTGACGGCCCGGTTAAAAAAAAATGAATAAAACGAATTAAAAACGAAATAAAACAAAGTTGCTGAAAATATGCGCTCGCCACCGGTGTAGACTCACTTAACGCCGTAATAAACGGCGAAACGTAAACAAATAAAACTTTTTATGGATTTCCATACAATAAAGGAGCGAACGACGATAAGGATCGGCCTTTTCGACGCGCGCAAGCAGAGATTACATCGCCTTCAGTTAATAGGCGAAAATAAAACGGCTACGCATTTTCCGCATTTGACATAAATTTGATACTTAACTTGAACGCGGTAAACGAAAATAACAGTATTTCACGTCCGATTAAGTTACAAATAAAATCTATCAGAATGATTATTTCAACTCAAAAAAAAATTCTCTTTTCGATCTCTACCGGATCGTTCCACGAAAAGTTTCTCAAAGAAACTTTGCGTTTACGACGATGTCGACGTCGAAGAAGTCGTGCCGTTTATAATTTTGCATTCTGCGGTTGTTATTTTAAAGGATATTGGTCGCGAGACTTCGAATTATTGCCCGGCACGCGTGGTACTTTGCCCGTTTTGTTGTTTCGTTTCCAAGAATAAGCGGGGCGGAATTTTGTACAACTCTCTTCTCGTATTAGTCGTCGTCGTTCACGTCCATTGTTCCTCTTCCTTTAGATTCTTTAGAATCGATTGCGGAATCTATTAGAAGAGGAAGTCGACTCGACAATAAGCTATTCTCCTGGAATGTTCTCAAATTCGGAATAATTAAAGAAATGGGGAAAAATTATGGTAAAAAAATCCCGCAGCGGGAAACGTAAAATTAGTAAACGACTTAGGAGGCGGCTTTAACCGCTCTCGGAAATCTAATTACACGATCTAAACAATTTTAATTTATAGGTTCCGCGCCCGCTAACGGTTTTGAACGGCCTCATTTTCTCGTAATGAGTTTTACGGACTCGTGGTTGTTCCTTTTAATTTTTTTTATTAATAATTTATTTTTTTATTTCTATTATATAAGTTATATATATTTCCCATCTTCAATTTTCTACCATTTTAAGTATTATTAGCAAAATGTATGCGTATTCATGTCAAAAGTTGAGCTTAGGCCACTTAAGTATCTTGAATTATGTCTGAAGAAGCACGGATAAACTCAAAACTTTCTAGGTCTAGTGTTCTAGTTTTAATTGTGATTCAGTGGTAGATTGTTGTGGTACATCTTCATTGAACTAAGACTAAAACTAACACAAAACCTAGAACAAGAATTATTCAGGTTTAGCCATGCGAGTATAACCTCAATGTTTCTAGTTTTACGTTTAGTATTAGTTCTAAAGGTAGACTTGTGGTGATAGTGTTAGCTCTAGTTTTAGTTGTTCAGCAAATATCTGAGGTTATGAAGCAAATTTAAATTAATTCGGATAAAGTGATGTATAAACGCATATTCTGCAAGGTTAAATAATATTAGATATCAAAAAAATCTGCTCATATTAATATAAGTTAATATAGGAATAAAGTGCTTACCTTCATTCACGCTTCAAAACGTATTTGTGTTTATAACTTAATAAAATCCATTTAATTTAAACAAATTAACTCCATAAACACAAACATTAATCACCCAATAACAACATAACCTCAAATGTCAAAAATTAAATTAAAACTTGTAAACAACACATATTTAAAATTTAATTTATTAATTAAATCTTTAATTAACTTTAATAAAACGAATTAAAATTGTTTATTGATATAAATTGCGATAAAATCACTTAATAAATAATTTTAACCAATAAAAATTTTTTTATTTGATGTTGGTAGACTTGACTTTTGACAAACTAACTTCAAGTTTAAAATGTCAAAATTTACTTAACCTCAAATGTGTTGAAATTTATTGAAGTTAAAAAGTGAGGCGTAAACGAAGAAAATGATGTAAGGTAAAAGTTATGAATTCTTTTTAGTAATAAGAAAACGTTATTGACCACACTTGACCTAGTTTTCGATATGCAATTCAAAGTGTTTCTATCTTCTATTCTAAGTAGTGAACGGTTGGAAGAAACTGGTTCGCTCGGTAAACGCGTACCATAAATTTGAGTCTTCGACCGTGTGCTCAAGTCGAGTGAATTTTAACTGGCCGCCCTACGCCGGGGTCATTATTTAAATGTATAACGCATTAGTCAACGATTGCTCGGTTATATATGCGGCTAATGATGTATATCGCGTCCCCGCGGATGATGGCCAACCATTCTCTCGAAGAAGTAAGTGCCCTCCGGTTGTATTTTCCGCGATTTATTGCATGCAGTCGCGTAATAGCGGAGGTCGGCAATAGAATACACGGTTTGGTTCATCATCCGATCGATACGATACATTCCCGTTAATAAAAACTAAAAACGAACGTTTTTTGGTGGTAATTTATAAAGAGTTGGGTCAGCACGAAAGCCATAAACGCGACCAGTTCCTTATCGTGTCGCGATAAAACCGAAATTTTAAGCCGTGTAAGTGAGCCCATTTATAGCCGCCGTTTTATATCTTAAAAGCTCTTAAATTAAAATTCCCTTATTATGCAAAAATTTGAACGGGAGCCGTCCAACTCCGATGGCTTTATTAACGCATAAATCAACACGTCGAAAGAAACTTGGAGGTTTTGCTTAAACGCAATTAAGAAAATTGACACCCACGGTACACGACATCAACTCACCAAGAAATGGATATTGAATCACTTGTGGGTAAATCATCTTTTTATTTATTTTTGATAAAAAATTTCTTTAATTAATCGAAAATCCTAGATTTTATTATTATTCCAACGAGAGTAAAACCCGAAACCCAATACGCGCGGTGTATTGCAAATAATTGATCGGCCACAATAAATCTTTTTATCTCGGGCGTCCAGTAATATATGGAACGCGAGGCGGACAATATTTTACGCGGTACCTAATTATTTTTAATTTAGTATCCCAGCTTGGATGTATTATTAACGTCCCGGTTGATATTTTCCTCGATATCGAACGGGTTAGGTCGAGGAACTCGCGCAAATGACGCGTCCTTATTCTTTATTTCGGCCGAAAATAAAAATTTTATTTCGACAGAAACGAATGTAACTATTTTTTTTTTTAATTAACCGTTTTAACAAACTTTATTAACTACCTCGCCGTTAAAATGACTTGAGGATGTATTGAAATTGTTGTCATTAAACATGTTTAACCTTTTGTTTGAATAGACACGTTATCTGTAGTAATCTTTCAAAACAACTATTAAGAGAAAAGTTCGTAGACCCGTGTGTCTAATCTCACGAGAGTGGCCAGTAAATTCTTTTTATGCAGTCGTAAAGTGGATAATGGCAAAAGTTATAACGGGAGGAAACGTAAACTTATAAATTTTTTATTACTTTCTTAAGATAAATAATATTTGAGGATATGTTGAAATATTATACATAGTCTATAGTGAATTTTCCTCTCTTACCTCTCTTCTTCTCGTACCTCTCTTAAGACGGCTGATAAGTGGTAGGTAGCGTTACTTGCCATAAAATATCACTATGTTGCATATTTTTATTGAACTAAAACCAGAACTAACACTAGACCTACAACTAGAATCATTCGGGTTTAGCCGTCTTGACAGACGTGCGGCTAAACCCGAATGTTGCTAGTTCTAGGTATAGTGTTAGTTTTATACTGGCAATGTCACTAGAATTTACATTAGAGCTAGAACTAGAAACATTTGGGTTTAGCCGCACGTCTTTCAAGACGGCTAAACCCAAATGATTCTAGTTCTATGTCTAGTGTTAGTTTTAGTTTTACACTGGCAATGTCACTAGAATTTACATTAGAGCTAGAACTAGAAACATTTGGGTTTAGCCGCACGTCTTTCAAGACGGCTAAACCCAAATGATTCTAGTTCTATGTATTGTGTTAGTTCTAGCAACAGTGCTCGTGTAAAACTAGAACTAACACTAGACCTAGAACTAGAAACATTCGGGTTTAGCCGTCTTGAGAGACGTGATGCTAAACCCGAATGTTGCTAGTTCTAGGTATAGTGTTAGTTTTAGTTTTACACTGGCAATGTCACTAGAATTTACATTAGAGCTAGAACTAGAAACATTTGGGTTTAGCCGCACGTCTTTCAAGACGGCTAAACCCAAATGATTCTAGTTCTATGTATTGTGTTAGTTCTAGCAACAGTGCTCGTGTAAAACTACCCAATGCCTGTACTATTAAGTTACGTTGCATTTTATGTGTGACAGTGCAAATGCATAGTAGTTTTGTAACTATGGTTACTGCGCTCATATATTGCGAGTTATATGAAATTCCCGGTATAGAGAAAGCCATCTTACAGTTATATTGTTTTCCGTTTCTCTATTATCGCGTTCTACATCGTTTTATCGATAAATCAAAACTAAAGGGCTTTCATAGGCTAGAAAAATAAAGTCAATTATTACCGCACCGCTATCTAGTTGCGGTAGAAATGGTAGTTAACCATTAATTGAATCGTTAACACGCCTAGATGCGACCAATCGATACAGTTTGGTAAATTGTCCCTACGTTTGTATTTTCCCATTTTAAAACGCTGCCGGCGATAACCATATCTAATAAAAATATCATCACATAATTGTTTTATTTATTGGCTTCTATTAACGTTACTGATTACTAAATACTCTTTTTTTACTTTTGAACTTGGCGAAGTAAAAATTAATCGTAAATTTTATTATATACGGTGCTATATTTTATGGCTAAATTCGCAAATATAATGGTTATATAGTTGCCGATACAAATTTGTTGCTCAACTTTGTATTGGCTTGACAAAATTTTATCATTTATTCTTTGTCATTAACTTAGTCCTGTACTATTGTGAGATCGCTCAACTTTGGTGTAATTTCTGTTATGGCGCCTTGGATACAAGCTGCCTCGGCTTAACCCTTTGTGTCCAGACGGTACTTTAAAGTACCTAAAGGTAGTTCTAAACGCTCATTTTAAATCATTTTAAAAATAAAACATTGAGCTTTAATTTAAAATAATTCTCATTCCTTAATTTTAATAAACACGGTTTCCAGAAATTTTTAAATTAACATCTTGTATGTTTTGTTTCAACATTTTTTTTCTTAATATTTTTCCAATCCAACCCATCAATTATTATACATCATTTTAAAAAGAAAGCTTTGAGCTTTAATTTAAAAGAAGTTTCATTTTTTAATTTCAATAAATACGGCTTTCAGGAATTTTTAAATTAGCATCTTTTTTGACACTTTTAGGTTATACGAAAATGTAAGTTTTATTTCAACATTTTTTTTCTCAATATTTTTCCAATCCAACCCAACAATTATTATACATCATTTTAAAGAGAAAGCTTTCAGCTTTAATTTAGAATAAGTTTCATTCCTTAATTTCAATAAACAGAGCTTCCAGGAATTTTTAAATTAGCATCTATTTCACATTTTTAAGTTATGTATACGAAAATGTAAGTTTAATTTCAAAATCTTTTTTCTCCATATTTTTGTGATACAACACAACCATTATTATACATCATTTTAAACAGAAAGCTTTAAGCTTTAATTTAAAATAAGTTTCATTTCTTCATTTCAATAAACACGGCTTCCAGGGATTGTTGAATTAGCATCTTTTTTGACACTTAGATTTCACATTTTCGTCGTTCTGTAGCTACAGGTCTGATAAATAAATATTCAAATTTACTGGTCCACGAAAACGTCGTAGCGCAGGTTCAAAAGAAAGAGGAAGTAGTGAAAATTAACTAGTGCAATGGACTAAGTTGTAATGAAAGAAAAATCTGTTTTTCTAAATATCATAATGTGATTTAGCTATAGCAAGTGTTACTTACTTTCTAACGTAATAAAAAATGTATTATTATTATATTGGCAATAAAAGTTTTTGTTTACTACAACATCACTAAAATATATGTTAATGCCTGATAGTACTCTCAAGTACCATTATCCCCCTGGAATGGGGGGATTGCATATTTTGCGAAAATTGATTCCAAATTCCGACACAAAGTTTCAAAATTTTTGACTTCCTGGGACACAAAGGGTTAATGATATATAAAACATCAAATTTTGCTCTTTAGTGCTTTTAAATTTTCTAAGTTGGTAACAATGAATGATACTCATAATATATTTATTTGAGATATAAAAATAGCAGTAGCCACGCTATTTTAAAAACAATGATATCGATTGTTGATATCCGAAACAATTAGTTGCCATGGTTACACATGGCTACTGCTATTTTTTCTATCTCAGATAAAATAACATTTTCTTCATGATTTTTAGATTGTTAGATATTTATAGGTCGGTGTTAAATAAAATCAAGATGATTAATATTAATTGTAAAGAATCACTTTCGTTTACCGTTTTGACGGTTGGTGAAAATAAATGAGCGGTCGTAAGAAGTCGTGTGGGTGTTGTTGAAGAAGCGACAACCGCGGTTTCGTCGCCGAGGCCATTCGTCTTAAGACCACGAGTAAGATTAGGGAAGAGGGCTTACAATTACCAGCGATATCGCGGCGTAAATCACGCGAATTATTAATTATTAACTCTCTCTTTCCCTCTCGTCTTAGCGTTTTTTCCTTTTTTATAACCGCCCGCCAGTCGCATAAATCACAATTATCAGGATTAAACGCGCAACATATCAACGCTGCC